AGCCTGACTTAATTCCTTCTGTCTTCCTATCTCTAACGATCTCTCTCCCTCTCTTTTGTTCTCTGCCTCTTGTGTCTCTCTGTTATTATGTCCCTCTTTTCTAGTCTCTGACTCTTTCTACCCTTTGTTTCCTTCTTTCTCTGTTTCTTGTCCAAAGGGGTGGTTTACTGGGGCAGAAATCAACTCCCTTACCCAGTTCCTTTATTTATTTTTCTTTTTCTTTTAAGCATAAGGTCCTTCACCAAATAGTAAGTGAAGATGCTCTTGGTGGACAAGAGGAAGGTATGTTCCTGCCCCACTTCCCTCCCTGTTCCCTCACATGCTTGTTTCCTGCCATGAGAGCACATCAGGTTCTTCCCCAGAGGGAAAACAGAGGCTGGTAGTGATAGGAAGGAAGTGACAGGAAGCAGTGGATTGAGCCCTGCAGTGACAGTGGGTCCTGGCTTTGTGTCAGCTCTGCCTGACCCTCCAGATGACCCAGGACTGGGCCCTGCCATTCTGAGGCTTTAAGGGATCCTCTGGCATGCTCCATAACTGTGCATAGCTCTTTGCAGTTTTTAAAGGGCAGGTACAATCAGAATCTCCATAAGGGAGGTGGGGCAAGGGTGCTTTATCCATTCTATGGGTCCAGAGCACGCATAGGCTTTATCAAAGGTTACACAAGAAAGTGGTGGCAGAGGGACTTAATGGTCTCTGCTATACTAGGACCCTCCCACCCAGCTTCTAGCTGAGTCCTGGCCCTTAGTAAAGTACTGATGAGAATTTGCTGAAATATACTGTCTGCCACAATGATGATGATAATAGTTAATATAGAAAGCACTTACTATGCACTATGCAGTGTGCTAAGTGTTTTATATGCAGTATCTCACTTAACTCCCCCACTTCCCCACTCCCAGCCCCATCAGGTATCATTCGCATTTTATAGATGAGAGAACAGAGACACAGAGAAATTAAGTAATTTGTCTAAGAGAGATAACTATATAGCTAGTAAATGTTAGTACAATTGGGATGAATGGGTGGGTGGGTGGATAGTTGGATGGATGGATGGATGAATGGTTGAATGGATGGATGGATGGTTGAATGGATGGATGGAAGCATAAAGTAATGGTTAGGATGGTTAGGTAGTAGGCTAGGGGACTTGGAGTTACTAAAAGATCTTTATATGTCTATCCCCATCAGCTCAGTCATGTATTAGCTACTTAAAGGCAAAGATTAACCCAAGAAAATATGAGTCCCCTCTCAAGCTGTCAGTCCACATAGAGAAGTCCACACACAGCAGCATTCACACACAGTCACGGATAAATTCACACTGACCAGGATGTAGGGAACCAGATACACACACACGTGGACAAGAACAGAAATCTGACATTGATACCTAAATATAACCAACACAGCCCAGTTACATACACACACATGTAGACACTGATACACTAAGAGGTAAGGCAGACACTGAGAAGGACACACTATTAATAGGAGACACCAGCACATACCCACTCAAGCAGATACAGACCCACACAAAGATTGGGACACATGGCTCATGCACACAGAGGATGGATAAGTGCTCTCTTGTGTCTCTGTCTCCATCTTTCTCTGTCTCTTTGTCTCTGTCTCTGTCTCTGTCTCTCTCTCACACACATGCACACACACACCAGTGCATACAAAGACCAGGAGGCATGTTGTATTTAAAGCCAGTCTGGATTCACTTAACACAAGGATATGCATATTGCAAGGACATGTTTAGAGACAAGGTCATTCACAGACAAGGACAAAGATATGCAGAAGTGCCCATCTATTCAGAGACATACACACAAAGATGTTTTACACACACACACACACACACACACACACTCACACACCCCTACCCCAACAGGCAGAACACAAACAGGATCAGTCTTTTTCTCGCTGACAAAGCAGCAACCAGGGCCCTCCTGGGTTTAGCTACATTCCAGCACCTTTTACTTCTAGAAAGGCACTCACCTGGGTCTTGCTACGCATGCAGAGTTTCGGGGCCACTTCCCCCCGTGCTTCATCTTAGAGGAGAGATGCTGGAGAGGAGGAGTTCCATCCATATGTGCTGTTTTCTCTTGATGCGGCAAAACTTGGCAGTGCCTCTGTTCCCCTTTTCCTTCCCCATCCCCACCCATCCAGCCTGTCTCTTAATCCTGCCTAAGTTATCTTAGGAACTTTCTCAGGCTCAGCCCTTCCTGCCCTCTCCTCAGCCTTGGCCCTTGTTGCCTTCCCTCCAAGGCCCACAGCCTTCCATCTGGCCTTGCTTCCCCTCCTCCTCCACTTCACCTTCCCACGGGACATTCTTTCTCAGCCTCCCCTGCCATTCACATTTTAAAAACAATCAGTGTCTTTTTGGTTCAGATCAGGATTTATCTGAAGAGAAGGAGGGAAGCAACCCTCTAAATCACTCCAATCCATTCCTCGCAGAGCAGCCCCAGAGATGACTTAAAAATGCAAATGTGAGGGCAGTGACTTTATTTCATTTGCTGGTATATATATATCCCCAGGGCCAAGAACAGTGCCAGGCACATAGCAGGTGCCATTTTCAGCTAAAATGTCACCTCTCCAAAGAAGTCTTCCTAGATCCCCTCGGTTTGGGTAAGATACACACACACACACACACACACACACACACACACTTGCAGGTGCACACACATGGACACACATGCACTATAAAGTACATATACATATATATCTTGTAAATGATATATATATGATATATACATAATATGTCATATATGTATCATATATATCTCTTATAAGTGTCAAGCTATATATATATATATATATATATATATATATATGCATATTTTCATGTAGACTTAATCTAATCACATGAGCACTTTAAAAGCAGAGAGTTTTCTCAGTCCAGTAAGCAGAAGGGAAGTTAGAGGGATTCTAAGGATGAGAAGTGTCTGACCTCCTAATAATGACCTCGAAGATGAAGGAGGCCATGTGCAAGGACCAGAGAGCCGCTTCTAGGAACTGAGAGTGACTTCCGGCCAATGGCCAGAAGGGAAATAGAGGCCTCCATCCTACAGCCACAAGGAACTGAATACTGCCAACAGCCTGAATGAGCTTGGAATCTGGCTGATATCTCGTGAGGCCCTAAGCAAAGAACCCAGTTGAGCCTGTTCAGACTTCTGACCTAGAGAATGGTAAACTAATAAATTTTTTTTTAAGCCTCTTTGTTACACAACTGAAAGCTAACACATGTGTTATCTTACTTAATCCTCACAACCATCCAAAAGGGAGGGTTTGCATCCCCCTTATACAGATGAGGAAACTGGCAGGTGAGGTAAAGGACTTTGCCTTAGACCACATGCAAGGATAATGCCATAGTCTGGATCAAAACTCTGTGCTTTTGCCATCTCAGCAGGCTGCTTCAGGAAGCAGATGTGGAGGCAGCTGGGAGAAATTAGACATCTGGGTCTGACTAGGTGGGGACTGAGGTCTTGGGTCAAGGCCAGGGAATGGAGTGCGGGTTTCCGATTGTGATTGTGTTCACCTACGGGGCTCTGCATGTCTGAGCCTGTGTGTGTGTGTGTGTGTGTGTGTGTGTGTGTGTGTGTGTGTCCCTGGGGGTTTATATGTGGGAGTGTCTGGGTGAATGTGTGAGTCTGGTGGAGTGTATCTGCGTCCCTGTATGAGTCTGAGGGTGTCTGTGCATCAGAATGTATCCATCACCAGGAATGACTAAGTCTGTGGGGCTGTGTCTGGGTGTGAACCTGTGTGTGCCCACTGAGGTGTGTCTGAGTGTCTCTCCTTGAGAGTCTGGGTCTGAGGGTGACTGTGTGTGAGTCTGACAGGATTTGCCAGGGTATTTCTGGGTGTATGTGAATGGGTGCTGAGGGGGTCAATGTTAGGAGGGCCACTGGTGTCTCTGTGTGCAGGTCTGAGAGTGTATCACTGAGTTGAGTGTGTGTGAATTCTGTGAGGAATGTGGGTTCATGAGGGTGTGTGTGCCCACCTGAACTTCTCTGTGGGTTCGTGTGGGATCTGAGGGTCTCCCTGTGTGGTTAAGGGTGTCCCTGTTTGTCGCTCTGAGTGTGTCTGCAGGTCTCTGGTTGTATGTGTGTGTCCGTGGATGTACCTACCTGTGTGGGTCTCGGATGTCTGGAGTCTAAGGGGGTCTGTGGATTGGTTACCCCAAGGGTCTCTAGGAGTCTCTATGAGTGAGTGAGTCTGGGTGAATCTCTCTGGGTGTGTAAGAGTCTGAGGGTGTCCGTGGTGTACATTGCAGAGTGAATGCACTCTTGTGGGTGCCTGTTTGTGCTCCTCTGCGGGTTCATGTGTGAATCTGAGGATCTCCAGTGCCGGTCACTGTAACTGTGTCGCTTTCCAGCGCGCCTGTGTCCTGGGCGGAGGCCTGTCTCAGTCGGCGACTGGTCGCCTGGATTCGGGGCGAGTATGGGGGCTGAGTGTGGGGGA